CATCTCCCACTGCTTTCCCAGGCCATAGCAGAGAGCTGGATTGGAAGTGGAGCAGCCGGGACTTGAACTGTCGCCCATATGGGATGCTGGTGCTACAGGCAGTAGCTTTACCCACCATACCACATCACCGGCCCCTTCTATGTTTTCTTCAGAAGTTTTATAGGTTTAGCTTTTTCTTTCTTGTTATTTTTGCTTTTTATTTAAAAAATATTTATTTATTTATTTGAGAGGCTGAGTTGGAGGGAGAGGGAGAGACACAGAAAGAGGTCTTCCACCCATTGATTCACCCCTCAAATGGCTGCAATGGCTGAAGCTAAGCCAATCTGAAGCCAGGAGCTTCTGCCGGGTCTCCCTCATGAGTGCAGGGGTGCAAGGACTTGGGTCATCTTCCACTGCTGTCCCGGGCCACAGCAGGCAGCTGCATCTGGAGTGGAGCAGCCAGGATTCGAACTGGGGCCCATATGGGATGCCAGTGCTGTAAATGGCGACTTTACCTGCTGCGCCACGGCGCCAGCCCTTCTGTAGGACTTTTATTGTTTCTTCCTCAAATATTTGGTAGTATGTTAGTGGAGCCAGCTGGGCCTGGAATGTTCTTCGTGGAGAGATTTTTAAATCATACTTTAATTTATCTGATGTACTACAGTGCTCTTTTGGGTTTCTATTTCTTCACATGCTGATTAGCTAATTGACAGTCTATATGCTACAGGAAGTTTTTTCATTTCATCCAAATTGTCAAGACGTGTGTTGGCACAATGATGTTCATATTTTTGTTTTAGTCTTAAATGAACCTGAAGTGATTCCCTCTTCCCTTTCTTTCTGGATATTGATAATTTGCATCTTTTCATTTTTCTCCCTTGATCAGTGTAGCTAGATTTTTTTAAAAAAAGATTTACTTATTTATTTGAAAGGGAGAGAGAGAGAGAGAGAGGTCTTCTATCCACTGGTTCACTCCCCAAATGGTCACAATGGCCGGAGCTGCCCTGATCCAAAGCCAAGAGCCAGGAGCTTCTTCCAGGTCACCCACCTGTGTGCAGGGGCCCAAGGACTTGGACCATCTTCTACTGCTTTCCCAGGCCACAGCAGAGAGCTGGAGCGGAAGTGGAGCAACCAATACTCAAACTGGTGCCCGTATGGGATGCTGGTGCTGCAAGCAGTGGCTTACTCAGTGAGCACAACACCAGCCCCAATTTAAATTTTTTTAAAGATTTATTTTATTTATTTGAAAGGCAGAGTATTTTTTTTATTTGACAGGTAGAGTTACAGGCAGTGAGAGAGAGAGACAGAGAGAAAGGTCTTCTTCCGTTGGCTCACCCCCCAAATGGCCGCTACGGTGATCCGAAGCCAGGAGCCAGGTGCTTCCTTCTGGTCTCCCATGGGGTGCAGGGCCCAAGCACTTGGGTCATCCTCCACTGCACTCCTGGGCCACAGCAGAGAGCTGGCCTGGAAGAGGAGCAACCGGGACAGGAACCCAGTGTCCATATGGGATGCCGACGCCGCAGGCGGAGGATTAACCAAGTGAGCCACAGCACCGGCCCTAATTTTAATTTTTGAAATCAGCTTTGGTCTTGTCATTCTCTCTCGTGCTGAATGTCACTGCTGGTTTCCATCTCACTGACTTCTGCTTGTAACACTCCCTTCTGCTTCCCCTCCCCCCCCCCTTTTTTTTTTACTTATTTTGGTGAAAGCATAGATTAATTTTGGGCTTTATCTAATATTAGAGTTAGGGCTATAAATTTCTCTCTAGGCTCACTTTAGTGGAATAATTTTGATATATTTCTTTGTTTTCTCTCCATTCAAAATAACATAATTTTCCTTTGCCTGTTACTTAGAAGTATGTTTAAAAATTTCCAAATAGCCGGCGCCGCGGCTCACTAGGCTAATCCTCCGCCTTGCAGTGCCGGCACACCAGGTTCTAGTCCCGGTCGGGGCGCCAGATTCTGTCCCGGTTGCCCCTCTTCTAGGCCAGCTCTCTGCTGTGGCCAGGGTGTGCACTGGAGGATGGCCCAAGTGCTTGGGCCCTGCACCCATGTGGGAGACCCAGAAAAATCTCCAGACTCCTGGCTTCAGATCAGTACAGCTCTGGCCGTTGCAACAATTTGATGGAAGTAGTGGAAGACCTCTCTCTCTCTCTCTCTCTGCCTCTGCCTCTCTGTAACTCTGCCTTTCAAATAAATAAATAAATCTTTTTTAACAAAAGATCTTTGTGGGCTATTTAAATTTTTTCTCTTAAAATATTTTCAAATTTGTTTCTATTTTTAAACAGTTTTATAAATTTAATCATTCTAATATTTGGAAGTCACTGTATATTTTTACTGTGCTGTGTCTGATGGCTATTGCTCATGGTGTTTTGATTTTGTCTGCTTGGTTGTTTCTGTGTCCTATTCTATTATCTGTGGGAACCATTATTAAGGCATTTTTAAAGGCTTAAGGTGAAGGTGTATTCATCCAGATAGGATTTTTCATTCTACTTGATGCACAGAGACACAGGAAAGAGACTACTTAAAATTCAGTTCTGGGCTTGAGATTTCAATCCAAGTCAAAGCTTTGGACTGCAGATCCAGGCTGGGGCTAGATTGTGATTATAACAGGTCAGGACTTTTGAAAGTTCCACTCTTTTTGTTCATTTCTGAAAGTGAAGCCCTTTGTCCTGCCAGCTTTGAAAGAAGACCTTCTATTCTGATCGTTGCTTTGGGCAGGGTCTGATATTTTGTGCGTGGCCTCCACGTCCCCCTTTAATGTATGAAAGGTCATGAAATGGGAAACCACAGTGTAGTTTGCTATGCTTGGCCTGTACCTTCAGGACAAAGTGTCTGAAAGTCTCCTTCCCCTCTTCTCTCTCTCTCTTTTTTTAAGTTTATTCATTTATTTGAAAGGCAGAAAGAAAGAGAGAGAAAGAGAGAGAGAGAGAGATCTTCCATTCACTGGTTCAATCCAGTGAAATGCCTTGACAGGTGGGGCTGGGCCAGGCCCGAGTCAGAAGCCCAGTTCTGCGTCTGGGTCACCCCTGTGGGTGGCAGGAACCCAGAGATTCATGCTGTCAGCCACTGCCTTGCTGGGTGCATTAGCAGGAAGCTGGCTCCCAGTAGAGTAGCTGGGGTGCACTGGTGCTCAGTGTGGGCGTGGGCCTTCCGAGCACCGTGAGCCAGTGCACCGTGAGCCAGTGCACCTGCCCTCCCCACCCTTTTCTGCACTGTGGCTTTTGCCCGTTAAGTCCTTGTTATATTTTCAACATTTTTATTCTTTTAAGACGATTAAAAGTATCTTCTAGTCTTTTAAATTATTTCCACTGAGAAGATTGATCTGAATATCTAACTAGCCTATTACTAGAATAACATATAGTATATTTCCTAAAATATGATAAAACTATACTTATGTTGAAGCTTACATTTTGCTCTCTCTCTCTCTCTTTTTTTTTTTTTTTTTGTTTTTTTGACAGGCAGAGTGGACAGTGAGAGAGAGAGACAGAGAGAAAGGTCTTCCTTTGCCGTTGGTTCACCCTCCAATGGCCGCCGCAGCCGGCGCACCGCACTGATCCGATGGCAGGAGCCAGGTACTTATCCTGGTCTCCCATGGGGTGCAGGGCCCAAGCACTTGGGCCATCCTCCACTGCACTCCCTGGCCACAGCAGAGAGCTGGCCTGGAAGAGGGGCAACCGGGACAGAATCCGGCGCCCTGACCGGGACCAGAACCCGGTGTGCCGGCGCCGCAAGGCGGAGGATTAGCCTACTGAGCCGTGGCGCCAGCCTACATTTTGCTCTCACCAGTAAGTCTTGGCAAGCTTTCCATTGCAGCTTTTTAAAAAAGATTTATGTATTTGAGAGGGAGAGTTACAGACAGAGAGAGGGAGAGACAGAGAGAGAGAGGTCTTCCCATCCACCGACTCACTTCCCAGATGGCCACAGTGTCAAGCTGGGCCAATCCGAAGCCAGGAGTTTCTTCTAGGTCTTCCACCTGAGTGCAGGGCCCCAAGCACATGGGCCATCTTCCACTGTTCCCAGCTCATTAGCAGGGAGCTGGATTGAAAGTGGAGCAGCCAGGACTCAAACTGGTGCCCATATGAGATGCCAGCACTGCAGGCAGAGGCTAACTTACTAAGCCACAGTGCTGGTCCCCATTGCAGTTTTTATAGAACAGTGAGCTGAACTTTTTAAAAAAGATTTATGTACTTTAAAGGCAGAGTGACAAAGAGAGAGAGGAAGAGATACACAGAGAGAAACAGTTCTTCCATCTGCTGGTTCACTCCCCAGATGGCTGCAACAGCTGGGGCTGGGCCAGGATGAAGCCAGGAACCTGGATCTCCCACGTGGGAGATTTATCGAGGAGCATTAGCAGGAGCTGGATTGGAGCAGAGCCACTGGGACTTGAGCCAGCGCTCTGTCATGGCACACTGGCATTGCAGGCATCAGCTTAGCCCGCTGCACCACAGTGCCAGCCCCAGTGAGCTGAAATTGTAAAGGTTTGTAGATGGTGGGAGTGCGGCTGATACGGGGCATGAGGCACAGTGGGCCTGGAACTGTTAAGTATGGCTGGAACATGGATGGGTAGCAGGGTATGGGGGAAGACAGTGCTGGAGTGGCCAGCTGGGCTCAGGTCACACAGTCCAAGCCACAGTTCCTTTTAGGAGCAGAGCTCCCTGGGAGCATTCTGCAGTTTATCATCTAGGTAAACTATTCTGTGGCCTGTAACAGGAAGCTTAAAAGACTGACTATTTGACCAGAGGGAAGAGGTAGGCAGGGAATAAGAGGCCTCGTCACGGAGCAGAGACCACAGAATCCCCTAGAAGAGTACAGAAAACGCTTCTCCTGAGGTTCTCCATGGTTGTACATCTCCAGAGTCACACACGCTAATTCACATCCCGGAAAGAGGAGCCTTCCAGGCTCGATCCCAGGCTCGGTGTCACCCAGATGAGCAGTGGTCGTCCAGTGGCCCTTCCTCGTGGGGGGGGGGGGGGGCGTCTGCTAAGTGGCCAATGTTCCTGTCCGCCTCACCCCTTTCTCCAGGAATGTTGAAATGCTTATCCAGCTGATAGCCCTGGGGGAGCTGCCTGCTGAAGTGCAGCCCCCTAAAAACCTCCTGGACAACCCAAGCTCCGTCTATAACGCCTGGCTCGATGACCTCCCCCAGCACATCAGGGACTTGGTGCTGAGCCGGGTGCCTGAGTGTGACATAAAGAAGCAGTTTCTGAAGGTCAGTAAAGATGGCTGTGGAGGAGGGGGCACCAGAAAAAATCCCAGAGACACCAGGGTAGCCTGCGGTCTGGTCATGCCAAGACCTGTAGTTCACAGTGTGCTGTTTCAGGGGAATCCTAAGTCAACTGACTTTCCGGGAAAGAAGGTTAGCTTGGAGATCTGATTTTCCCAGTGATCCAAGGCTTTGAGGGAGTTTTCCGGAAGAGAATGTTGTACTATCCTTTGTTAGGTTTAAGGATACTTTAGCGTCTACCCTTTCTCTCCTTGCAGTATAAGGAGGGCTACAGATTTATATTCCTGAACTTCATTGAAGCCACATCATTCCTTCCTGGATCCATCTTCTGGTCTATGCTCTTCTTCGTGACAGTGCTGATCCTGGGACTGAGTACCATCATAGGGTTCATGCAGGGACTTCTGATCCCACTCCAGGACACCTTCTCGTCCTTCAGGCGGCACAGAAAGCTGTTCTCAGGTACTCTGACCCATGATCCTGACTCCACTGAGACTCGTTCAGCCAGACCTCTGGCCTTGATCAAGACCCAATATTTCCTCTAGTGTTCGTCTCTATGCTACTGTTCCTGTGCGGCCTCTTCTTCCTTCGACCTCCAGGCGTCTACTTCTTCAGTCTGCTGCATGAACACTGGACAGTCCTTCCCATCATCATCATTGTCATGTTTGAAAACATTACCATAGTGTGGGCTTATGGGTCCAGGAGGTAATCTAGGCCCAGGTTCCCACAAAGCATGGGTCTATGGGAAACGTTAACAGCTTTCTTGTTGTTGCTTCTTTTCTCATCCAATTAGGGCAACACAGGGATCTTTAATTTCAGGACCTCTGGGAAATCTCTTTATTCATTCTATCACTGAACATATTTTACAGTGCTTCACATGTGCCCAGCACTGTTTTAGTTGCCAGGAGAGTGCATTGAATAAAACAAGCATGCTTGTCTTCAGGGAGCTCATAGTTTACTGGAATCGAAACACAGTAAACAAGTTAACAAGCAGAAATGACAGGGGGAATCAGAGGCGATGGCAAGAACAGAGTGGGATTATGTGTGAGTGCTAATTCAGATAGGATTCTGTAAACTGACATGTGAGCAGACTTTTTCATGAAATAAAGTAGGAAAGGAGCTATGATAACGTTTTGAGTATTCTAAGCAAGAAAATCTTAAATATCAATACCAGAGGAAGTGTCATGCAAAGAGTGTTTTTTATTTATTTACTTATTTATTTATTTATTTATTTGAAAGGCAGAGAAAAACAGAGAGAGAGAGAGAGAGAGGTCTTCCACCTGCTAGTTCACTCCCCAAATGGATCGGAAGTGGAGCAGCTGGGATATGAACCAGCGCCATTATGGAATGCTGGCACTGCAGGCAGCAGCTTTACCTGCTATGCCACAGTGCCAGCTTCTGTAAACAGTGTTTTAAGATTTATTTATTTGAAAGGCAGAGTTTCAGAGAGAGAGAGCTTCCCACTCGCTGGTTCACTCCCCAGATGGCCATAACAGCCGGAGCAGGGCTGATCTGGAGACAGGAGCCAGGAGCTTCTGGGCCTCCCATGTGGGTGCAAGGGTCCAAGCAGTTGGGCCATCTTCTATTGTTTTCCTGGGCCATAGCAGAGACCTGGAATGGAAGAGGAGTAGCCAGGTCTCAAACCGGCACCCATATGGGATGCTGGCACTGCAGGTGGTGGCTTTACCTCCTACACCACAGTGCCAGCCCTCATGCAGAGAGTTTTTGGGGAACAGGAAGGTTAGAGAAGGGGTGAGACCAGAGAGATAATGGAGGCCAGATCATTTAGTGCCTTGTAAGCCATGGTAGATCTTAGCTTTTGGCGGGGGGCAGCACTGTTGTAGCAGGTAAAAGCCACCACCTGTGGTGCCAGCATCCCATTATGGGTGGCAGTTCATGTCCCAGCTGCTCCACTTACGATCCAGCTCTCTGCTATGGCCTGGGAAAGCAGTAGAAGGTGGACCAAGTGCTTGGACCCCTGCACCTGTGTGGGAGACCGGGAAGAGTTCCTGGCTCCTGGCTTCGGATCAGCCCAACTTTGGCCATTGTGGCCATTTGGGGAGTGAACCAGGGATGGAAGATCTCTCTCTTTCTGCCTCTACCTCTCTGTAACTCTGTCTTTCAAAATAAATAAATAAATCTTTAAAAAAAACTTAGTTTTTTATGCAGAGTGAGAGATCAGGCATTGCAGGGTTTCAGTAGGGGAGTGACACTATCAGATCTGTTTTTAAACAGGTATCTGACTGTTGTGTGGAAGCCAGACTATGAAGAGTCAATGTGAAGGAGAAGAGTTGGACGGCATGCAGTGTTACAAATGAGAGCTAACAGTGGCTCGGGCTAGGGTGGTAGAGACGCTGGGGAGAAGTGAACTGACTTTGGAAGGTAGACCTACAAGGGCAAAGGAACAAGATAATCAGGGACACAGCTGTGGAGGAGTCCCCAGCACAACATAGACATTCTCATGTTCGTGAGACGAATGGAAGTCACTCGGCCTTTATCCTGAGGGCACTGGGGACACACGGAAGGTCCTTGAATGGTATAAGGATGTTTGGAACGTTTTCCTGGGTTGGGGTGAAGTACAGCCTTACTAGGGAGAAGATACGAGAGGGTGAGACTTGAAGTGATGCAGATGAGTAGAGGTGTAATCAGATATTTTGAAGATACTAAGGGTGGGCTGTCCCTGCCCTCAAGGCTGGGTAAGGCCCTGATGGGCCTCTCACACTCATGTCCCTTCCCCAGGTTCCTTGAAGACCTTACGATCCTGTTGGGCCATCCCATCTCCCCCATCTATGGCTGGCTGTGGTGCAGTCTGTGTCCGGTTATGTTGCTAGTCATGCTTGTGGTAACTGTAGTTCGTCTTGCTATGAAGAACCTCACCTACGTGGCCTGGGACTCGAGCAGTGTGAGCTTCCCTCTGCAAATCCCAGAAGCCCTTGGAGCGGAGCCCAGACCTTTCAGTCCACTCTTGACTGGAGAATCTGGTGATTTCGTTCTCTGAATCCCTGAAGACTTAGTCTTGTGTCCCCGTTCTCCTCCCACCTCGCCCTTCCACATCCTTCCTCTTCTCCTTCGGAACTTTGACCCTCTGAACCCGTTTCCCATCTCTTTGCAGTCAAAAGAGGTGATTCGACGATACCCGTCGTGGGCACTGGTCTCGATGATCATCCTCTGGCTCGCTGCAATCTCCCCCATCCCTGCATACTTCGTCTACTGCCTCATCAACAAGATCCCCTTCAGGTCTAAGATGGAGGACAAGCAGGCAGTAACCTCCAGTTCCCTCTTCCCAAGTAACCGGATAATGCCCGGTCAGGAGGTCCAAAAGGCAGAGATTCTGCAAGATAAAGCAAAGGCTGATCAACCTGCTGTGTGACTTCCTAACTTCATTCAACACACACCCCTCAAGAGGTCTGACTCCGTGTCAGCTTCCAGCCGGTGGTGTCCCTAGATCCAGAATCACTGGTATTCCCAAAGGGAGGGGAATTGTTTGGGTGGCCAGTGGAGTCTGGTTTTGAAGTCCCCTCCTGGGCCCTGCCTTCCCCAGTTACCACTGTCACTGTGTCTTCCCAGTCCCTTACTTCAGTACACACACACACACGTCATACGTGCTATTGATGATGCCTGGCCTGGAGCTGGAGGAGGAGTACTGCTGTCAATAAATCAGCCCACTGGGACTCCAAGCACTGAGTGTAAGATCTTTTCTGTAGACTTCACAAGACTTCCGTCTTCCTCCAGTCAAAAGTCTAGCCCTGAGGCCCTGCCCTGCCCTTGCCACGACAAGTTCAAACGCTAGATCACTCGCACTGCCTCGCCCCAGGACTGACTCAGACCAGGGAAGCCTAGAAACTGGTGGCTCCAACACAGCTGGAAAGGGTCTAATGTGCTTTCCACTGAGGCACGCCAATCCCTTCAGAGATCTAAAAGGTATCAAAAATTTAAAAAGAGGTTGCACCAGTGGTTCAAACGCTGCATTGTGGACAAGGGTATTTGTAGATCAGTGCACAGCCAGTTTGGGGAACTACCAAGTTATATGGCTCGAGCCACCAGGGGGCCCACAGCCGCTTAATAAGAAACATCATTGGCCTTACATAGGACTAAGCAGACTACTTGGTGCAGACGATGATGCGGATTTCTTGGAACTTGTGTTAGAGGTGACTCCATAAATAAGCCACAGTGCTTTCCCAGAGGAGGTCGGGGCCAGTCAGCTAATGGTTGAGGGTAGGGGCTGCAGTGGAGGTGGTTGAGATTGCCAGATTCAGGAGATAGGGACGCTCAGAGGTAATGGGATTTTGGACTGCTTAGGACCCATGAGTTCTGTGTTGAGGAAGGAAGACATCCCCCAACCGCTGGTGAGGGGGACATGAGGCGGGCTAATAAATGCAAACAGCCGGGTGTCCGCAGTCTCGGCCTCTGAAACCACGATTCTCCAAGCTTGAGGATAGGCGGGCTGGAGGAGGCGTGAACCCCCAGATCGCCACCCATTGGTTCCTGCACGCTTGCGGCCCCGCCCCCTCGCTCCTCTCACCTGAATCCAAACGCTCGGCCGGCTCGAAGACTGGTGCTTGTGAGTCGGGTAAGGTGGGGACGGAGAGACGTGATCAAATGGTCTGGGTGCCCAGCCTCTTTACTTTGGGGAACCCAAGGGCTCATCCTCTCTGCCCTCTTCCCTCCCACCAGTTCCAGCTTTGGGGGTGGAACTGGGGAGGGGATCGAAACATGGGGGATTACCAGGTAAACTTACGGAGGCGGGATGAAGACCTTGGCGTGTCCCTCTCAGCTTTCCTCCCAGGCCGCCGGTCGAACGTCCTTCGGCTCCTAACCGCAAGGTTGTTTGAATCGGGAACATCCCCCACTGCTGCGGTGGGAGGCCCTTATGGAGCAGTAGGAAGACGGACTCCCTGTGTAAGTATTTCTCCGATTACGCTGAAGGTCCTTACACTGTCCGCAGTCGGGCTTCCTGCACCAGCCTGTGTGATCCGAGCCTTTTTCTCCCTGCTGCTGGGACTCGCTGGCCTTGTTAAACAGAATGGAGCCCAGTTCCTTGGTGGGGCTTCTTTACCCTATTCCTCACAAGAATGGTGTGAGGTAGAGCTGTTGTCGCCCCCAGATCCCTGAGCAGACCTGGGAGGAAGAGTGGTTCATCCAGTGAGGCAGGGGTACCGCCTGACAAAGAGCGCTGTCTTCTGTCTTCTAGATCTTTTATTTTGGAAAATTTAAAATTTATACAAAAGAGTAACACACTAATTACTATATACTCATCACCCCCCTTCAGTAATGACCAATGTCATGATCAATCTGTTTTCATCTTTCCTCCTCCCACTTATTTAGAAGCTAATCCCAAATTTATCATTTAATCTGAGATATGTCAGCACATATCTCCAAAAAAGATAATCTCTTTAAAAACAGCTACAAAGCTACTATCAAACTAGAACAAATAGCAGTAATTATCTAATGTCATCAAATATCCACTCAGTATTCAGGTTTCCTGGTTGTCTCATTTTTTTTTAAGATTTATTTATTTACTTTGAAAGAGTTACACACACAGAGAAGGAGAGACAGAGGGGGAGAGAGAGAGAGAGAGAGAGAGAGAGAGGTCTTCCATCTGCTGGTTCACTCTCCAATTGGCCGGAGATGGGCCAATCCGAAGCCAGGAGCTAGGAGCCTCCTCCAGGTCTCCCACGCGGGTGCAGGGGCCCAAGGACTTGGGATACGCTCCACTGCTTTCCCAGGCCATAGCAGAGAGCTGGATCGGAAGTGGAACAGTCAGGACTTGAACCGGCGCCCATATGGGATGCCAGTACTGCAGGCAGCAGCTTTACCTACTACACCACAGTGCCTGCCCCCATATATTTTTCCTGGTAGCTTTATCTTTTTAAAACAGCTTTATTGACATGTAATTCACATAGCATAAAATTTGCCCAATTTAAGGATATATTTCAACAGCATTTAGTATATCCACAGAATTGTGCGTTCTTCCCTACAGTCAATTTTATTACATTTTATTACCCTAAAAAGAAACCCCTCACCCTTAGCCACCACCTCCCACTTTCCCAGCCACCACCACCACCACCTCCAACTTTAGGCAATCACTGATATACTTTCTATCTCTATATGCATTTGTCTATTTTGGACATTTCATACAAATAGATACAATACAATATGTAGCTCTATATGGCCAGCTTCTTTGGTTTAGGTTAATGTTTTTGAAATTCATTCATGTCATAGGGTGAAGCACTACTGCATTTCTTTTTGTTGCTGAATAATCTTCCATCCACTGCTTCACTCCCCAGATAGCTGCAACAGCCAGGGTTGAACTAGGCTGAGGCTAGGCGCCGGGAACTCCATCTGGGTCTCCTGCGTGGGTGGCAGTGTCCCAAGCACTTGGGCCATCATCTGCTTCCCAGGAAGCTAGATTGGAAGTGGAGGCAGAACTTCACGCCAGGTACTCTGATATGGGATATGGGCATCCCAAGTGGTAGCTTAACCCACTGTACCGCAACATCTGCCCCAAATGTCTCATTAAAAAAAAAAAAAAAAAGTATCCTCTCTGTCTCTCCCTTACTGTCTAACTATCTGTCAAATAAATCAATTTCAAAAAAATTTTTAAAAAGTTTGAAATCAGCATCCAAATAAAATTCATATGTTGCAATTCATTGCTACATCTCACCCCCCCCCACTTGCAATGTATTTGTTGATAAAACTATGTTGTCCTGTAAAATTTCCAACTACCTAGATTTTGCTGATCACTTCCTGTGGTGTCATTTAGCATATTATTCTGTCCCCTATATTTCTTCCAAATTGTTCATTAAAGTGAGAAGTTGATCAGTTTCGGTCTCATGCTCTGACAAGAACACTTCCTGAGTGTGTTTTGTACCTGTGTTGGGAGGCAGGCAATGTTTGGCTGTCTACTTGTGATGGTAGCAGCCACTGGTGAGCATCGTCCACACCCATATGTGCATGAGAGGTCACAAAACGGTGGTACTCTAGGTTTATCAGTCCTTGTTTCTCTGTTAGCTGGAATACTTGCAGACACTTCTCATCCTGGCACATTCTGTGCAGGAAAGGCAGATTTGATGTTGATTCTTTCCTTTTAGTCACCAGTTCAGATAAATGAGTTTGTTGCCTAATATTCAGATGTGACCATTGAGATTTTTCTCCTTTAGGATTTTTATGAATTCATAGATTTAAATATATTTCATGTGTTTTGGTCCATTATAGCTATTCTTATTGATGCTCAAATAACCTCACCTTTGACCTCTAGTGTCTCTCTGACGCCTGAGTCCTTGTGATAAGATTCCAGTGGCCTTTTCTTGCTTTCTGATATGACTGTGTGCTCCAGGATTAACTTGTACATTTCTTACCCAAAGTTGGAAATGAGCTATTTCTCTAAAGATATCTGGTCTTTTAGTGGAAAATGATAGTTGAAGATCACAATTGCATGCTAGCTACATTCATTGTTATGCCATTAGTCATTGTTTCTAAGCCTTTTCAATAAATAAGGCTAAGTAATCATTTCCCCCTAAGGTAAAGTACATCATAAATTCACCCATTTTTTAAATATTTGAGTTTGTACCGTAAGGATTATACTTAGCCTCCTGGATTTTACACTTATATCTTTTTTCCTCTAATGTATGGCCTTAGTACTTGATAGAAGTTGATACCCATAAGCCCTCACCCTCACCATTTCCAAGACTGAACTCAATTGTCTTTAACAGTTTTTTCTTCCCCAAACCTGGTTGTCCATCCACGTTTCTATAAAGAGTTGAGGTAGAGTTTTAATGCTGGTGAGCCTAGAGCCCAGACAGGCAAATGTAGGTTAAGTCTAACATGGGGCAGGCGCCGTGGCTCTCTAGGCTAATCCTTCGCCTTGCGGCGCCGGCACACCGGGTTCTAGTCCTGGTCGGGGCGCCGGATTCTGTCCCAGTTGCCCCTCTTCCAGGCCAGCTCTCTGCTGTGGCCAGGGAGTGCAGTGGAGAATGGCCCAAGTGCTTGGGCCCTGCACCCCATGGGAGACTGTGGGGAGCAACTGGGAGCAACTCGGACTAGACTAAGTTACTGGAATTAAGACTTATTCTATGCATCTGCTCTCCCACAATATGGTGCTGAGAAGGGAGAAACAGCTTCTACACAGCTGCCTCCAGTTCAACCAATAAACTGTAGGACCTACTCCTGATTGGAGGAGAGCAGCATACTCGGCGTATGGGTAGCAGAGTTGGGATTGGTGGAAGAGGACTATAAAGGAGGAGAGAGACAACATGCACCAGGAACATCTGAAGGAACACCTGAGCAGCCCCCGAGAGAGCCGGCCGGCGGTGTGCCGCTCCCCCGCGGAAGTGGGGAAAGTGGCCAGGGGGAACCACCCTTCCACGGAGGTGGAAGGGACGGCAGCCAACCCGGGAAGAACCAGCAGCAAACCCGGGGAGGGCCGAGCAGATAAAAGAACAGCGCAGGGTCCTGTGTCGTTCCTCCACGAAGACGGGGAGCGACAGGAGACCAGGAGAAGCACCTGGCTCCTGGCTCCTGGCTCCTGCCATCGGATCAGCGCGGTGCGCCGGCCGCAGCGCGCCAGCCGTGGCGGCCATTGGAGGGTGAACCAACAGCAAAGGAAGACCTTTCTCTCTGTCTCTCTCTCTCTCACTGTCCACTCTGCCTGTCCAAAAAAAAAAAAAAAAAAAAAAGAGTCTAACGTGGTAGGATTTGTAGGAATTGAAGATGGAAATGCCCTTATATCCTCTTGCTGATTTAGGGGTCTGTCGGGCAGCAAGAGTAACCTCAGACCCGCCCACTGAGGGACTGTGGTTGTCATCTCTGACCTGAGGGGATTTGCTCCCTGTTGGGAGGAACACGGGTGTTTAGAGACAGAAAAATCTGAGTTTGAATATATCAGATCTTTGGGTAGTTCTGTGGCCCTCAGCAAGTCACTGGATTTCCTTAGCCTTAGTTTCCCTGTCTATCAGACGGGGGTGTGGAAGCAGTTCCACAGATTTGCTGGGAAAGTAAATTTGTTGTGCATTAGAATCACCCTAAGACCTATTAGATATAGTAAACATTAGTGTGTTGAGATTTTATTATCTTTTTCTAAATCTGCACATTTATTCAGATCTTTTACAAATTTTTTTAAAGATTTTATTTATTAATGTATTTGAGAGATTTCCAAACAGAAAGAGTGAGAGACAGAGAGAGAGGTCTTCCATCTGCTGGTTCACTCCCCAGATGGCCACAACAGCTGGAGCTGGGCCCATCCGCAGCCAGGAGCTTCCTCTGGTTCATGAACATGGGTGCAGGGGCCCAGACACTTGGGCCATCTTCCACTGCTTTCCCAGGCCAAAGCAGAGAGCTGGATTGGAAGAGCAGCCGGGACTAGAACTGGCGCCCTTATGGGATGCCAGCACCGCAGGCAGCGGCTTAACCATCACACCACAGCGCCAGCCCCATTTATTCAGATTTTATACAGCTATTACACACTCAAATATTCCCCACTATGTAAGATGCTGTAAGTTACTAGAATATATATTTTAAGGGAAGGTAACCGTCAATAAGCAGGATTTTTCTTTGTTCACTGCTGTATCCATAACACCTGGAACAGTTTCATATATGCTTTCCCAAGCTCAAGAGGCATCAAATATTTGTTATGAAAGCAATAACCCCCAAATGGTACTTTAAAGATTTAAGGCAGTTTTCAACTTGTACATGAGAAATGTCTACTTCATGTGTTGTTTTCCCCTTGATTGAAAAACAACATTTTTAATAGTCTGAAGTGGTAGGGCATAAACATGGAACAGTTTTATTTTTCCCTAAAAAAAAACCTCTTTCTTTTTGCTGGATTCCTGATCCCTTAATTCCTGCTCCTTTCCATTCACGGAAACTCCAACGTGACATCCATTTTAAACCCTCAGCCTCATCGAGTCAAAGCTTCCTCACTCCCGTTCCTGGAACTCGAAGTGGAGAAAGCGAGGACTCGTCTCGCCTCATTCCTTCCCCTTTGACTCATTCCCTCTTTCCCAGTCTGTGTTTCTAATCCCAGCTCCTCTAATGTAAGATCCCTCCCTTTTGCCAGCCCAAGTCTCCATGGGAGGAAATACATAAGAAAGCAGGGGATAATCATCTCCAGCCTTACTGTGGGCGTGACTACAGTCCGTCTCTCGGTGGTCGCTGCTTCTCTGGTAAGCACAGCCTGGTCTCGAGTGTGCCAATGGCAGGAGGTGTCTGAACGGGGAGACCTCAGAGGATAATGTGTATGTTCTCCTTGATAGCACCCACAGTTCTCTGACATGGGAGAGCTGAGCCTAATCTAGGCCCTTCTGATTTCAGAAACCGCTGTGTCTGCTAATGCATGGAAGCCAGGCTACCTTCCCTGGGGCCTGTCTGACCCACAGACAATTCAGACATCGCTGTCACCACCACCGTGGTCAAGGCTTAGCACATAGTAGCTCTCACAGGTCTCCCTGTGTGCACCTCTGCCGCTATTACTTCCTGCCTCTCCAGAGGTCGTGGCTGTCCTTTTAAGGGCATCACTTCTATATATATTGCTATAATGGCTTTGCCTGCTTTTGGAGATCTCTCTCCTGATAGCAAGATTGAGATTGAGATCCCGCCGGCGCTGTGGCTCAATAGGCTAATCCTCCACCTAGTGGTGCCAGCACACAGGGTTCTGGTCCTGGTCGGGGCGCCGGATTCTGTCCCGGTTGCCCCTCTTCCAGGCCAGCTCTCTGCTGTGGCCCGGGAGTGCAGTGGAGGATGGCCCAAGTGCTTGGGCCCTGCACCCCATGGGAGACCAGGAGACGCACCTGGCTCCTGGCTTCGGATTGGCACAGGGCGCCAGCTGTAGCAGCCATTTGGGGGGTGAACCAACGGAAAAAGGAAGACCTTTCTCTCTGTCTCTCTCTCTCACTGTCTAACTCTGCCTGCAAAAAAAAAAAAAAAAAAAAAAAAAAGTATCAATAGTTTTTGTTCCTTTTTATTAATGAGTAACATTGCATTCCATAGATGAAGCACACTTTCACTATTCACCAGCTTAAGAACACTTAGATTTTTTTCCAGTTATGGTAATTGTGAATAAACTCATATACAGGTTTTTGGCCGGCGCCACGGCTCACTAGACTAATCCTCCACCTTGCGGCGCCGGCACACCGGGTTCTAGTCCCAGTCGGGGCGCCGGATTCTGTCCCGGTTGCCCCTCTTCCAGGCCAGCTCTCTGCTGTAGCCCGGGAGTGCAGTGGAGGATGGCCCAAGTGCTTGGGCCCTGCACCCCATGGGAGACCAGGAGAAGCACCTGGCTCCTGCCTTCGGATCAGCACAATGCACTGGCCGCAGCGGCCGTTGGAGGGTGAACCAACGGCAAAGGAAGACCTTTCTCTCTGTCTCTCCCTCTCACTGTCCACTCTGCCTGTCAAAAATAAATTTAAAAAAATAAAATAAATAAAAATAAACTCACATACAGGTTTTTGTGAACAAAATCTCCTGGATAAATACCTAGCAGCCATGTTGTTAGGCTATATGGGGCATTTTATTATTTAAGAAATTTTCAGACTGTTTTCCAATGGCTGTACCATTTTGTACTGTACAACAGGTCCAGTTGCTCTGTATTTTGCCACATTTGCTATTATCAGTGTTATTGTTGAAATTTTAAAGCATATTTGTAGATTCTTTATTTCTCCTATCAGTTCTATCAGTTTCTACTTCGTATGTTTGGAACTCTGTTATTATATGCATAGGCCTTCAGGGTTGCTATTTCTTGGTGTATTGATCCTTTTTGCAGGGAAAGATTTATTTTCTTTCTTTGGAAGAGTTACAGAGAGACTGGGAGAAACTCACACAGAGAGAGCTATCTTCCAGCTGTTGGTTCACTACCAAATGCAGGGTCAGTGCTGGTCTAGGCAGAAGTCAGGCGCTTGGAACTCCATCCAGGTCTCCCATGTGACGGGTATTGTTCTGTCTACCATGCATGTTGCAAATATTTTACACTATTTTATGTCTTGTCACTCTCTTAAGGCAACTTTTTAAAAAAATTTTTTTAAGATTTATTTATTTGTTTGAAAGTCAGAGTTACACAGAGAGAGTAGGAGAGGCAGAGAGAGAGAGAGAGAGAGAGAGATCTTCCATCTGCTGGTTCACTCCCCAATTGGCTGCGATGGCTGGAGCTGTGTGATCCGAAGTCAGGAGCCAGGAGCTTCTTCTGAGTCTCCCACATCGGGGCAGGGGCCCAAGGACTTGGGCCATCTTCTACTGCTTTCATAGGCCATAGCAGAGAGCTTAATGGGAAGTGGAGCAGCCAGGACTCGAACAGGCGTCCATATGGGATGCCAGCACTTCAGGTGGTGGCTTTACTTGCTATATCACAGCGCCAGCCCCATATTAAGGCAACTTTTTTTTAATTGAAAGATTAGAGAAAGGAAGAGAGAGAGCGAGAGAGAATCTTCCGTCTGCTAGTTCACTCCCCAAATGGCCACAATGATCAGGGCTGGGCCAGGCCTGAGCCAGGAGTTTCAACCAGGTCTCCCACGTGGGTGACAGGGGCCCAGACACTTGGATCATCTTGCACTGCTTTTGCCAGGCGCATTAGCCGGAGCAGGATTGGAAGATCGGTGCCCATATGGGATGCCAGCATAGTTGGCTGCGGCATAGCCTGCTATGCCACGATGCCAAGCCCCCAGTTAAGGTAATTTTTATTGACACAGATTCCTATTTTTAATTTTGGCCAATTTGTCAAACTTTTCCCTTATCATTGGTGTTTTTTATATTCTGTTTTAGAAATCTTTTCCTACTTCAAGCCATGAAAATACTGTCGTGGGTTTTTGGTTTAAAAAATTTGATTGTTTCATTTGCTCTGCTTAATAGGTTTTTGATATGTGAAGCTGAGGAGGTCAGATTTCATTTATTTCTATAGCGATACCCAGTTGTCATGGCAACTGGCCAGTTATTGGAAAGAACTTCCTTCCTCTACAGCTCCGCAGTGCCGTATTTGTTGTACATCGACTCATATTTGTGCATGTTTTCACTCTCCCAGAGGTGTGCAGCAGAATTCTTGGTGATGGTGGAAGTGCTCTGCATCTGCCCTTCCAGTGTGGCCACCGTGGGCCTCTGAGCCTTGTACACAGCTAGTGTGACTAAGGGACACAGTTGTTGATATTCCTTAACGTGAGCTTACATGGCCACAGTGAGCACTGCTACCGTACTCATCTGTGAATTTCATTCCGTTGATTTCTTTGTGCCTTATAGATCCTTGTGCTGTGCTTGCTTAATTATTGTGACTTTATACTCAGTCTTTACATTTTTTTCTTCTCCATCAAGACTGAAGTAACCATTCCAGGCCTTTTGTTTTGTATGCAAATTTTAGAGTCCATTTCCACAGAACCTCTGCTGTGATTTTTTTTTTTTTTTTTGACAGGCAGAGTTAGACAGTGAGAGAGAGAGACAGAGAGAAAGGTCTTCTTCCCTTCCATTGGTTCACCCTCCAAAGGCCGCCGCGGCCGGTGCTGCACTGATCCGAAGGCAGGAGCCAGGTGCTTCTCCTGGTCTCCCATGGGGTGCAGGGCCCAAGCACTTGGGCCATCCTCCACTGCACTCCCTGGCCACAGCAGAGAGCTGGCCTGGAAGAGGGGCAACCGGGAAAGAACCAGCACCCCAACCAGGACTAGAACCCGGTGTGCCAGCACCGCAGGCAGAGGATTAGCCTAGTAGCCGCGGCGCCGGCTGTGGTTTAATTTTTTTATAGTCTGTGTATAAAGGTCTTGATCATCTTTTGTTAAAAATTATTCCCAGGTGTTTTGCATCCTGTGGTATCATCTTAAATGGTGTTGCTTTTAAATGCTTATCTTCTAGAGGCAGGCGTGTTTTTCCCTGGGGGGGGACCCCACTGCCTCATCCACACATCCTTGGGTTGGCGAGGCCTCAGGAGTTTGTGTGCGATTGGCAATGTCTCTCCTCAGCTTGTACACCTGAAGTCTGCAATCCTTGATGTCAACGAAGAATGAGGCCCCGCTCCCAGAGAGTGGTGGGCTGCCATCCAGCCAGAGTGACGAGGTAGCTGGCGAAGGCGTGGAGGCCCGGGATGCGGGGCCCCAGAGGCTCGTCCACTCACAGTCCAAGTCCCTGTCCGCTGCCAACTCGCCTCCCCTGCCCGTGAGGGCGAAGCTGCTTCGCCCTGAGGATGTGGAGGAGGACACACAGGACATGGACACCCTGTCCTCCTACGTCTGGTCTGAGCAAGACAGTGAAGAAGTGCTGGAGTCTGCGGAAAAGGCCGAGTCCAAGGAGGACGCCCCCGTAGAGCGACCGTCCTGGGCCAATAAGATGGAGTACCTCTTGGCCCAGGTGGGCTTCTCTGTGGGCCTGGGCACCATCTGGCGCTTTCCTTATCTGTGTTTCCACAACGGAGGTGGTAAGCCTGGGCGCCGAGACTCATGGGTCCATGGGGGGGGGCGGTGAGGAGCCCGAGGCCTCTCCTGGATGCTCTAGGGCCTCTTAGATACACAGGGAGGGGGGTGGGGCAGGGTGTCTGAACACCTAGTCTCATGCAGGGGCAGGGCTAGAGGCCAGGGGAGTAGAAAGTAGGTATCTGGGTCTTCCAGGAGTTGGGGTGCGGGGGCGTAGATACCTGGGACCGTGAGGAGGGAATCCGCTTCCCGGGTCCTGAGCCCGAGGTTCCCAGAGCCTTCCCACGTCCCCTCACAGGCAGCTTCCTCATCATCTACATCCTCATGCTGTTCCTGGTCGGGGTGCCTCTGCTCTTCCTGGAGATGGCAGCCGGCCAGAGGCTGCGTCAGGGCAGCATCGGTGTGTGGAAGGTCATCAGCCCCTGGATCGGTGGTGTGGGCTATGCCAGCTTCACGGTGAGGAGTGCGGGCTTCCCACGCCCGTCCTTCACACCCCACTCCCATGCACAGCCCCGACCCAGAGTGGATCCAGGGGTTCTCTTCCGGGAGTCGGTTCCCCCGTCCTCAAGCCAACACCCACCGCTCTGCTGGCCCGCTTTCGCCTGCCTCCAGAATTCTTGACGACCTCTAGGTGTGCGTCATCGTGGCGTCGTACAACAGTGTGCTCATGGCCTGGAGCCTCTTCTACCTGATTCAGTCTTTCCAGTCCCCACTGCCTTGGGCATTGTGCCCCACAATGAACTCCAGTGCTCTGGGTGAGAAGGGAAGGAAGAAGGCGGGAAGTGGGAGATGAAGGAGAGGAGTGAGAGAGGAACAGGGTTATTTAGAGAGGTGGGATGGACAGTAAGATGGGGACGCGGGGTGGAAGAAGGGGGGCCTGGTCTGCCGTTTCCTCCAAGGCCGGTTCACCCCAGATCCTGAGTGCACGCGGACCTCCTCCACTACTTACTTCTGGTACCGGAAGATGTTAAAGGCTGCAGATGAAATTGAGTTGGGTGGGCTGCCAGTCTTGCATCTCAGCCTGTCTCTCTTTGCGACCTGGTCAATTATCTGCATCTCCATGATCAAAGGGCTCAGATCAACGGGGAAGGTAAGCTGCTGCCTCACTCATCTGATGGACTGTCTTCCGTCCAGAGCCCTAGTACCCTGCTAACTGATACGTGTCGGGTTCCTTGCAGTCCGACCTCTGTCACCCATAGCCTTCGACGTTCCTGTCCCCAGCTTCTGCCCTCGCCGAACTCTGTTTCTGAACCACGCTTTCCCTGCAGATGCTGTATGTCTCAGTGCTTCTCCCCTATATCATCCTCTTCTGCCTCCTTATCCGGAGTCTGCTGCTGGAAGGCGCCTACTTTGGTCTCAAGAGTTTGCTGGCGACCAAGGTGAGGAGTGCTTGTCCTTTAAACGGGTGTCGCAGTGTGAAGGTAGTCTGCCTGCTCCCTCCCGCACTGTCTTCGCTGCCATCCCCAGCAGGGCTTGCCACTCCTCCCTTCATGCCCCATTTGCCTGGCACTTTTCCCTTCCAGGCAACAGCCCTGTACTCCATGGAAGTGTGGCGCCGCACAGGGAACCAGCTGTTCTTGTCCACAGGCCCTGGCTTTGGCAGCTTCACCGCGATCAGCTCATACATCCCTCGGTCCAACAACTGTGTCACGGATGCTTTTGCTGTGGCCCTTCTCAACCTGGCCGCCTCGATGACTGCCACTCTGGTTGTATTTGCCATCATGGGCCACTTGGCCACAGTGGACACCAAGAAATGTTACCTGAAGTGAGTGCCGTCTTTCACTTGGAAATCACCACAAAGACCTTTTAGAAAACTGTCACAAGCAAAGTCTCAGAGACGGCCCCAGAGCCCCAGTCTCAGGGATGCTGGCTCAGTCAATACACAGCCCTCAGAACTCCAGTCTCAGCCCCAGTCTCAGGGATGCTGGCTCAGTCAATACACAGCCCCCAGAGCTCCAGTCTCAGCCCATTCCTCAGGGATGCTGGCTCAGTCAATACACAGCCCCAGAACTCCAGTCTCAGCCCATTCCTCAGGGATGCTGGCTCAGTCAATACACAGCCCTCAGAATGGCGCCTCCTGCACCTTGGGAACACCTGATCTCTGCAATGCCTTCACAGCCACCTTCATAAACTAGGGAAGTCCCAGACTCAGAGGCTCCAAAAGTGTGTTCACCCCCTTCTCATACGGGGACAGCCGTAGAAAAGCTGTGGAATACCTTCAGCTAAACTGTTAGACCAAAACAGACCTATTCCACCAGAGCCTTCATGGCCTATTTGTTTCTCATTTTCTTCTCCTTTGGCATTCATTTTAAAAAGTAGTCATCAGATACTTATAAAACATCTCCTCTCTACCAATCCCTGTTTTGAGTTCTGGAAAAATGGCACATTGGACCACCATCCCTTAGGAAAATCACAGTCGTGAGGAAGCAGATACTAAATAGATAATAACAAACTCAGAGGCACTCACTGCCTGGACTGCCTGAGACGGCTTCCTCACAGAGGAAACTGGAGGAAATCAAACCTGACAGATACCCACGACTGGGATTCTCTCCGATGTTTCCCATCATAAAAAACTTATGGCCGGCGCCGTGGCTCACTAGGCTAATCCTCCACCTTGCGGCACCGGCATACCGGGTTCTAGTCCCGGTCGGGGCGCCGGATTCTGTCCCGGTTGCCCCTCTTCCAGGCCAGCTCTCTGCTGTGGCCAGGGAGTGCAGTGGAGGATGGCCCGAGTGCTTGGGCCCTGCACCCCATGGGAGACCAGGAGAAGCTCCTGGCTCCTGCCATCGGATCAGCACGGTGCGCTGGCCGCGGTGGCCATTGGAGGGTGAACCAACGGCAAAGGAAGACCTTTCTCTCTCTCGCTCACTGTCCACTCTGCCTGTCAAAAAAAAAAAAAAGTAGGTGGCAGACAGTTTACTCTCAGCTCAGGCTCCACCTAAACCAGATCAAAACCACGGGGCTGGTAACTCCCCCTCTCAGGTCGAGCATGAGGAAGGCAAAGTTCTCCTAAGACACCAAGTGGTTTACCTGATTCTGCTCCTGTCCCCAGGAATGCTGACACAGTGGTGAAGCTGGTAGCTACTGGGGTCCTGCCTCCCGAGGCCCTGCCCCCAGATAGCCTGTATCAGGATCCCAGCGCCATCTACGTGAAGTGGATCCAGGGCCTCCCCACGGAAATCAAAAATAAGGTCCTACAACATTTGACTACTTGCAACTTAACTAGGCAATTGACTGAGGTGGGTAAGGGTTGGAGACGGGCCCTTGAGTTCCCTTCAGCCCACAGTGTGCCAGAAGCGTCAGCTGTCTCCCTCAGCTGTCTGTAGAGCCCAGGCAAGCAGTCCTCGTAGCACCTTGGCAGCCGTGCTGGAGGCGCATGCGCTCTCACAGTGAGGCGCTGTGGCCGCCCCGCACCGAGCGCTCAGGTGACGGAGGCTAGACCCAACTGCTGTAGGAAGACGCGCCCCTGCTCCGGGGCCATTCCCAGGCCAGGGAGGGAGCAACGTGGGGCTCATTCGGAGCTCAGAGTCCCACCATGCTCTCTCTCGTTCACAGGTTATGGGGGGGCCCGGCGTGGCCTTCGTGGCGTTCACTGACCTCATCTCCGTGTTTTCTGGACCCACCTTCTGGTCCATCATCATCTTCCTGATGCTGGCAAACCTGGGGCTCAGCACCATGATAGGGATCATGCAGGGCATCATCACCCCCCTGCAGGACACCTTCTCTGCCCTCAGGAGGCACACCAACCTGCTCACAGGTGCTCGGCCCGCACCCTAACCCGGCTGGGTCCTCACGCAGCCTGGCCCGAGTTCTGACCTCGACCCACCCTGCTGTGTCCCTCCAGTGGGCGTCTGTCTGTCGATGTTCCTGGGCAGCCTCATCTTTGCGAGGCCTTCGGGCAGCTACCTCGTGAACCTGCTGGATGACTACTGGGCCTCTCTGCCCCTCTTCTTCATTGTCATCGTGGAGAACGTGGCCATGGCCTGGATCTATGGGGCCAGGAGGTGATGTCCCAAGCCCAAAGGCTCCTGCTCTGCACCCATAGAGTGCGGGTCCCTAGGGGGCGCTGGTCCCTTCCTTGCTCTGACTACTCTCCCAGGACTCAGCGCAAGCCCCAGCAGGGTGGGAGGGAGAAAGGGAAGACAGTGAGAAGTCCACCTCAAGTCCAAGGGGCTCTGAGCCCTGCTCTTCTCCAGGGGAGTGTGGACGTCTGAGACGTGGACCCCTTGCTTCTCAAATGTGGTTTCTGGGCCAGCAGCCCTGGCATCATCTGCAGCTTATTAGAAAAGCAGACCCTCGGGCTCCACCCCAGGCCTTCAGATTTCAGCATCTTAATAAGACCTCAGGTGATTGGTGCCCCACTTGAGGATCGAGGGTGGTGGCACTCCCAGGCTGTGCTGGTCTTGGCCTGTTCGCTCACGCATGCACTCACTCATTCTCACCTATTTCTTAGGGCTGCCTGTGTGCCAGGCGGGTCTTAGGGTGAGTACCAGGGACTCTGGGATGTCACCTGGAGTTCTCTCAGGGTACAGAGTCCAAACACAGAAGCAGGTGTAAGCACATCCCCAGGCAGGATGCCCGGTCTGTGGCAGAGGCTGGAGGCCTCCAGCACACAGGTGGTCACCTAGAGAAGGACTAAGTGCTAGGCAAGGGGTCTTAGACGATGGGCTGTCTGCAGAGTCTGCGCAGGGGGAAGTCAGGCGAGGGAGAAAAGTGGAGCAGCACACTGCAGGCAGAGGACTTGTGGTGGGTTCCGAAGGTGCATCAGAGAGGGCTGCGCGCATGGGCTGCAAACAAGCAGTTCAGGAACTTGGCCTTGACCCTGGGCAAGGGGTGGAAGTGTTTCTCTAACAATCCTGGGACTGAGGCAGAGACAAAATTGAAAGGGGACAAAGTAGAAGCGGTGAGAGTGGATGTGGAGGGGCTGTGGAGGTGAGCAGAGCTTCCGGAAATGCTGAAGGCCCCTCCTCCACTGGCCTGGGCTGGCCCCATCCCCTCAGGCTGGCGGGGTCCTGAACGGGTCTCCCAAGGTTCCGCTGCCCTTCCTGCAGGTTCCTTGCAGACGTGATCATCATGCTGGGCCACGCCCTCTCCCCCGTGTACCGCTGGCTGTGGTCCTGCCTGTCCCCAGTGGTGCTGCTGATTCTGTTTGTGACCACGCTGATCCACCTTTGTGTGAGAAGCATCACCTACGTGGCCTGGGACTCGAGCACTGTGAGCCCCCCGAGGACCCCGGGGGGGGGGGGACCTCACCCTTCACCCTGCTCTTGCCTCACGGTCTCTGTCACCTTATTCGCTGGCTCCCTGGGGGTTCAGATACTTAGATTCCTTGCCCTGGCTCATCTCCCACCTCCACCCTCCCCAGCCTTCCAGTTCGCATAATCAGGGCATGCTAAATCTCCTGTCCTCTTTCTCCACAGTCGGACGAGGTGATCCGGGTCTACCCACGGTGGGCCAACGTGCTGCTCGTGGTTCTCATCATCACCACCATCTTGCCCATCCCTGCCTACTTCTTGTACATCCTCATGAAGGTGGCTTTCCCGGTCCCCAGGACCCAAAGTGGCAGTACCATCATCTTCAAGCCTGAAACCAGAGAGTCCTCACAGAAACCTGGCTCACGGCTTAAGGAGAGGCAGATCTCAAAGGCTAAAAAAATGGATAAATAACCAGCCAAAAACACCCAGTTTCCTGCCATGTGAGTAGCTCCTCTTGACAATAAAGACTCGGTTCAGTTGGCACAACCTCGGCTCTTTCTCAAAGCAGAGCTCTCTGGCTGGCGTCTCGCCACTGGAAGAGGGAACGACAGCTGCTGGTGCAACTGAACCTAAAACCTTCTGCTCTCCTAGGCCGGAGTGCTTTGTATTTTTTTACATTGGGGACTACCAGGAAGGTCCTCCTCCTCAGACCCATAATAATGGTGCTGTCTGGCTCCCAGTATCCGGCTGATGGCAATCCCACTCTCCTAGGCTTCCTTCCCCCAGACGGGTCTGTGCTCCGTCTGGTCCCTCTGACACCAGCACAGAAGTGGTGGTGGCAAATAAACCAGGTTGGTGTAACCTGACTTTTGTCATTAAAAAAAAAGTGTCCGACTCCCAGTTTAGCCTTCACTGGTTCTATTAAATGTAAGTGCTGGAATCTGGGGTTCCTGGGCCCGCTGCTTCCTGGGAGTGGACTGAGCCAGGGGGAGGGGATTCCCCAAAGCCAGCAGATGCAGGGCCGGCGCTGTGCTGCGGTGCTGGCATCCCGTATGTGCTCAGTTCGTGTTCCGGCTGCTCCTCTTCCCAGCCAGCTCTCTGCAATAGGACATGCCCAAGTCCCTGGGCCCTGCACCCGCGTGGGAGACCTGGAAGCTCCTGGCTCCTGGCTTCAGATTGGCTCAGCTCCAGCCATTGCAGCCATTTGAAGACCTTTCTCTCTGTCTCTCCCTCTCTCTGTAACTCTACCTCTAAAATAAATAAATAAATAAATATTTTTAAAAGCAACAGCAAGCCGGCGCCGCGGCTCACTAGGCTAATCCTCCACCTAGCGGCGCCGGCACACCGGGTTCTAGTCCCGGTCAGGGCACCGGATTCTGTCCCGGTTGCCCCTCTTCCAGGCCAGCTCTCTGCTGTGGCCAGGGAGTGCAGTGGAGGATGGCCCAAGTGCTTGGGCCCTGCACCCCATGGGAGACCAGGAGAAGCACCTGGCTCCTGCCATCGGATCAACACGGTGCGCCAGCCACAGCGGCCATTGGAGGGTGAACCAACGGCAAAAGGAAGACCTTCTTTCTCTCTGTCTGTCTCTCTCACTGTCCACTCTGCCTGGAGAAAGAGAGAAAGAGAGAAAGAAAGAGAGAAAGAAAGAGAGAGAGAAAGAGAGAAAGAGAGAGAGAGAGAGAGAGGAGAGAGAGAGAGAGAAAGAGAGGAGAGAGAGAGAGAGAGAAAGAGAAAGGAGAGCAAGAGAGAGAAAGAGAGAGGAGAGAGAGAAAAGAGAGAGAGAAAGAGAAAGGAGAGAGGAAGGAAGGAAGGAAGGAAGGAAGGAAGGAAGGAAGGAAGGAAGGTAGGTTGGTTCAGGGTAATCGTCAAGAGGACTCCAAGCTTAGAGTCAGATAGGCAAGCACGTGCTTTATCTTGAGAGTTACAGAGACAGGGAGAGAGAGAGAGAGCTCCTCCATCCACTGGCTCACTCCCCAGATGGCTGCAGAGGCCAGGGCTGGGCCAGGCCGAGGCCAGGAGCCTGGAACTGCTTTCTCATCTCCCATGTGGATGCAGGGCCCAAGCACTTGGACCATCTGCTGCTTTCCCAGGCCATCAACAGAGAGCTGGATCGTAAGTGGAACAGCAGGGACTTGAACTGGCACCCATACGGGATGCTGGTGTCACAGGTGGTAGCTTTACACAGTATGGCACAGTGCCCCTGACTTTCAAATAATACATAAGTCTTTTTTTTTTTTTTTTTTTTTTTTTTTTTTGACAGGCAGAGTGGACAGTGAGAGAGAGAGAGACAGAGAGAAAGGTCTTCCTTTTGCCGTTGGTTCACCCTCCAATGGCCGCCGCGGCCGGCACGCTGCGGCTGGCGCACCGCGCTGATCCGATGGCAGGAGCCAGGAGCCAGGTGCTTTTCCTGGTCTCCCATGGGGTGCAGGGCCCAAGCACCTGGGCCATCCTCCACTGCACTCCCTGGCCACAGCAGAGGGCTGGCCTGGAAGAGGGGCAACCGGGACAGAATCCGGCGCCCCGACCGGGACTAGAACCCAGTGTGCCGGCGCCGCTAGGCGGAGGATTAGCCTAGTGAGCCGCGGCGCCGGCCCATAAGTCTTTTTTAACAGAAAACTTTTATTTAATAAATATAAATTTCTTTTTTTAAAAAAGATTTGTTTTATTTATTTGAAAGACAGAGTTAGAGAGGTAGAGACAGAGAGAGGGGTCTTCCATCCTCTGGTTCATTCCCCAGATGGCTGCAACGGCTGGAGCTGCGCTGATCCGAAGCCAGGAGCCAGAGGCTTCCTCCAGGTCTCCCACGTGGGTGCAGGGGCCCAAGGACTTGGGCCATCTTCCCCTGCTTTCCCAGGCCATAGCAGAGAGCTGGATTGGAAGAGGAGCAGCCGGGACTAGAGCCGGTGCCCATATGGGATGCTGGCGCTTCAGGCCAGGGCTTTAGCCCGCTGGCACCACAGCGCCAGCAATAAATATAAATTTCAAAAGTAAACTTTTGGAGTATAGGGGTTCTTCCCCCCATAATCACCCTCCCACCTGCAAACCATCCCATCTCCTACTCCTTCTTCCATCCCATTCTTTATTAAGATTCATTTTTAATTATCTTTATATACAGGAGATCATTTCTATACTGAGTAAAGATTTCAACAGTTTGCACCCACACAGACACACAAAGTATAAAGTACTGTTTGAAGGTTGGTTTTACCACTAATTCTCACAGTACAACACGTTAAGGACAGACGTCCTACATGGGAGCAAGTGCACAGTGACTCCTGTTGTTGATTTAACAATTGACACTCTTAAGTATGACGTCAGTAATCACCCGAGGCTCTTGTCATGAGCTGCCTCCCTCCCTCCTCTCTCTCCCTCCTCCATCTCTCTCCCTCTCTCCTTCTCTCCTTCCTTCTCCATCTTCCCACCTTACTCTGCCTTTTAAACAAATAAATCTTTTTTAAAAATCTCTGTGGAAACACATCATTTATAAGACCTCAAAGAATTCCTACAGAAAAATTTTGAGTGAATGTTGCCAAAAAGAACCACAAGACATAAGGAGCTCCATCCAGGTCTCTCACATGGGTGGCAAGTACTTGAGCCATCTCCTGCTGCCTTTCCGGTGCATTAGAGCCGCCGGGACTCGCATCAGTGCTCCAGTCTAGGATGCTAGCTTGGCAGGTGGCAATTCAGCCTGCTGCACCACAGTGCGGACCCCACGGGATTTTTACTAAAGCAAGCATTGTTTTTCTGTTGAGAAATCATTGTGAGTCGTCTCAAGGTCAGCAATTAGCTTTGTTAATCAGAATATTGCAAGGAAAAGGAGATGTACACATTGGGCCACAATATAAACCCCGCATTCAATAACTGAGGAGCACGGATCCTCTGAAGCCTGCAGTGTAAGGCTGGTCACACGTAGCACACACAGCACACATAGCACACACCTCATTCCGTGTCCATGAACTAATCCACAGTGCCAGCCCCTAAAATTTACCTCTCATTCCGTGTCCATGAACTTATCCACAGTGCTGGCCCCTAAACTCTACCTCTCATTCCGTTTTACCATCTAATCACAGTTCCGACCCCTAGACTTTACCACTCATTCTGTTTTACCCTCTAATCCACCGTGCAGGCCCCTAAACTTTACCTCTCATTCCATTCTACCCTCTAATCCACCGTGCTGGCCCCTAAACTCTACCTCTCATTCCGTTCTACCCTCTAATCCACAGTGCCGGCCCCTAAACTCTACCTCTCATTCCGTTTTACCCTCTAATCCACCGTGCCAGCCCCTAGACTTTACCTCTCATTCCGTTTTACCCTCTAATCCACCGTGCCGGCCCCTAAACTTTACCTCTCATTCCGTTTCACCCTCTAACCCACCATGACGGCCCCTAAACTTTACCTCTCATTCCGTGGCCATGAACTAATCCACCGGGCCGGCCCCTAAACTTTACCTCTCATTCCGTTTCACCCTCTAACCCACCATGACGGCCCCTAAACTTTACCTCTCATTCCGTGGCCATGAACTAATCCACCGGGCCGGCCCCTAAACTTTACCTCTCATTCCGTTTTACCCTCTCATCCACCGTGCCAGCCCCTAGACTTTACCTCTCATTCGTTTTACCCTCTAATCCACAGTTCCAACGCCTAGACTTTACCTCTCATTCCGTTTTACCCTCTAATCCACAGTGCCGGCCCCTAAACTTTACCTCTCATTCCGTTTCCATGAACTAATCCACAGTGCCGACCACTAGACTTTACCTCTCATTCCGTTTTACCCTCTAATCCACCGTGCCGGCCCCTAGACTTTACCTTTCATTCTGTTTAACCCTCTAATCCACCGTACCGGCACCTAGATTTACCTCTCATTCCGTTTTACCATCTAATCCACCGTGCCAGCCCCTAAACTTTACCTCTCATTCCGTTTTACCCTCTAATCCACCATGCCGGCCCCTAGACTACACCTCTCATTCCGTGGCCATGAACTAATCCACCGTGCCAGCCCCTAGACTTTACCTCTCATTCCGTGTCCATGAACTAATCCACCGTGTCGGCCCCTAAACTTTACCTATCATTCCGTTTAACCCTCTAATCCACCGTGCCGGCCCCTAGACTTTACCTCTCATTCTGTTTTACCCTCTAATCCACCGTGCCGGCCCCTAAACTTGACCTCTCATTCCATATTCATGAAATAATCCACAGTGCCAGCCCCTAAACTTTACCTCTCATTCCATGTCCATGAACTGATCCACCGTGCCGGCCCCTAGACTTTACCTTTCATTCTGTTTTACCCTCTAATCCACCGTGCCGGCCCCTAGACTTTACCTCTCATTCCATGTCCATGAACTAATCCACAATGCCGGCCCCTAAACTTTACCTCTCATTCCGTTTTACCCTCTAATCCACCATGCCGGCCCCTAAACTTTACCTCTCATTCCATGTCCATGAACTTATCCACCGTGCCGACCCCTAAACTTTACCTCTCATTCCATTTTACCCTCTAATCCACCGTCCGGCCCCTAGACTTTACCTCTCATTCCGTTTTATCCTCTAATCCACCGTGCTGGACCCTAGACTTTACCTCTCATTCCGTTTTAAACTCTAATCCACCGTGCCGGCCCTTAGACTTTACCTCTCATTCCGTTTTACCCTCTAATCCACCGTGCCGGCCCCTAAACTTGACCTCTCATTCCATATTCATGAAATAATCCACCGTGCTGACCCCTAAACTTTACCTCTCATTCCATTTTACCCTCTAATTCACCGTGCCGGCCCCTAGACTTGACCTCTCATTCCATATTCATGAAATAATCCACCGTGCTGACCCCTAAACTTTACCTCTCATTCCATTTTACCCTCTAATTCACCGTGCCGGCCCCTAGACTTTACCTCTCATTCCGTTTTACCCTCTAATCCACCGTGCTGGCCCCTAATCTTTACCTCTCATTCCATGTCCATGAACTTATCCACCGTGCCGACCCCTAAACTTTACCTCTCATTCCATTTTACCCTCTAATCCACCGTCCGGCCCCTAGACTTTACCTCTCATTCCGTTTTACCCTCTAATCCACCGTGCCGGCCCCTAGACTTTACCTCTCATTCCGTTTTACCCTCTAATCCACCGTGCCGGCCCCTAAACTTTACCTCTCATTCCGTTTTACCCTCTAATCCACCGTGCCGGCCCCTAGACTTTACCTCTCATTCCGTTTTATCCTCTAATCCACCG